TGAATGCCACATATACGTGCCAATAACTGCTTCATACGTTGAAAAATATTTCCAAAGACATCGTGGTTCCACTCCGTGGCCCTCGCGGTGAAATTGTCCACAGTCTCCTCATAGGAACCCGAGGGATGCCACGTCTCAGTCAACAAGTCTTTAAAACCCGGGTGGAGCTAGAAACTGAAATGGCTTAACACTACGTGGGGAGAGGACTTGTCGCCTAAAGCTAAGAAGAAGCGGCGCGTGATCAGATAGAACGCGAGGGAGGAGGCAGACACGACACGGCTCAAACTTTTCCATCCAGGTGGTGTTCACAACAAATCGGTCGAGTTTTTCGGCCACTCTACCCTGCTGGGATACGCGGACCTAGGTGAAGAGATGGCCATCTATGGTCACTTCTTGAATGTTGAAATTGAAAGTCCAATCAGCAAACTCGTTGCTAATGTTACAAAATCGCGAAGATCCCCCTAATTTGTCAGACCGACGAAGGAGGCAATTAAAATTCCCCCGCGATGACCCAAGGATCCGAAATTTGATTCACCATCCGTTCCAGCTCATCCCACGCTTCGGCGACCAGCTGCATTAGGACTGGCATAAATAAACGTAGCAAGGCAATCCACATCATCTTTGGAGATCCGGACGTGTATCCATTGCCTGGAGAAAGTTAACACCTCGAGACGAACTTCATCATTCCACAGTAACCAGATACCCCCAAAGAAGCCCTGAGCCTCGACCTGGAAGGAATTGGCAAACTTGCTTTAACACACGAACTTATCAGCATTTGCCCCACCAATACAGGGCTCTAACAAAGCACAAACATCTGGTCGATTTTGTTGTAGAAGGGTCGAAAAAACTCCCCAAAATTCAGGCGAACCCGCACCCTGAACATTCCATGCAATGATATTCATTGGAAACAGTAAAGGAAAAGAATGGAACAACAAGGATCAAGCAAGGTCCTAGACGTGAGATTCCAACACCTCATCCATCCACATTTGAACGTCCGGGTTGAGATCTGCATCCTCCTTCGGTGAAGGGTCCTCTGGCCACGGCTCCTGACGTCAGATGTTTTGCTCCCCCTCCGACATAATGCTATCCTCGATGGGACCCAGGTCATTGGAAAAATGGATATCTCCACTGGGGAGTGACTGTAACGGTCCATTTTCAACAGTAAAGGCTCTATGTTTGCTCGGATTAAGCCCGACACCTATCTGGACAGAGCAAGTACGAATCTGGGTTGTAGTCTGGGAGTTGGGCTCAATATTGCTCTTACTGATCTTGCTCGCCCCATTAGAATCCACCGGTCCGAGACCATTCATCGGGGCCGCAGTCCTCGACAGCACCCGAGTGCCTTCAGGTCCTGGCGCCTTCCCTAGTCCCGTAGATGGTAGATGTCCCATGAAACTTGCTAGCACTTAAAATATTATCGGAGTTTCTTCCTTTCCTCGTCACGACCCGCCAGGCACGCTCATTCTCAGCTCTCACATTGTGCTCAAAGAGGTCCTTTGTGGGCTCCAAAGGGCCCCCCAAACTCAAAAACCGGAGGCGCTGCAGTCGAAACCTCCTTGGCCAAAGTCCTGAACCGAGAACCCACCCCCGAATTCGGCCTTGGGTTGCGTGGTTTGGAGGTCTGGAAATCCCCCTTATCACGCCTCGCATACGTCCAGACATGTTGCGGGACTTGTTTCCACGGTCTATATTCCAGATCCTTCCCGCTCTCCTTTGGCTTAGGTGCATCCCCAGTGTAATCAATGCCATACTTATTCGCTCCGAGGCTGCCATCAGAGGGATTCCCCTCATGGTTCTCCGGTCCTGGGGTAGGCGGTTTATACAAACAACTATGGCTCGAGTCTCCAATCCTACCGCAATGGAATCAAAATTGTAGGTAGGTTCTCATATACCACTTGTTGATGTTTCCCATTAATGGTAAAATTGACACAGAGGGACTTCGTAAGGTCCACCATAACGACAAGCCTCGCAAACTTTCCACGTGTCAATGCGGCGGTTTGTTGGTCGATTTTCACCACCTTTCCCACAATCTTGCCAATCGTGCGAAATATTTTTTTGTGGTACAAATGGGCCGGCATGTCGGGTAGCCATATCCAAGTGACCGTCGAAGTGAGTTCTTCGTTCGAAGTGTCAAAATCTAGTGTCCATGGTTGAACGCGCATGTAACTACTTCTCACGACATATGGTCCACCCGTTAGTACCCTTACTGTGTCATCGTGGATACAGAAGTGAATCAGGTAAAGCCCATTCTCAAGGTCCATTATGTTGCACCCCACCATGAACGGCCACATCTTGGCCATAGTGAGCGACGCATCAATGGTTTAATAACTACCACATTCTTCTAATCATGAGCAATTTGGTCGAAGAAACGTTGGCCTATCTTAATCCCCGGTAGAGGGAGAGAGCAGTCCAACACTATATCGTCTTCCACATCCGAGTCTTGGTCTTCATCATCAGACTGTAATTCCACATGATTCCTCTATTTGTTTACCATGTCGCGGAAGGTCCACCGGGCCTGAGGCGGTCCCTTGGTAAGGTGGGCTGTGGATTCGGAGCCGGCGGGCTTGGATTCTCCAAAGGACTCCCCGCTCGTTTGAGGGTTTTAGACCGTGTTAAAAAAATTAATGATCATTCTAGAATCAATCATTGGTTGCAATAATGATTAATTGATTGGTTGTCATTAGTTCAATCATTAGTTAAGCATTTGTTGTCATTAGTTGGCATATCAATTATTTGAATTCAAGAGACTTCCTTTGATATCTATATATATGTTGTACTTGATTGAGTTGAAATGCAAGTAAGAAGAAGAATTCAAGATAGAAATTCATCTATGCTACTATTCTTAAAAAGCTTCTCATTACCTATATTATAAATATTCTCTTTTTCAATATTATTTTTTACATATTATCATTTCTTCTCTAATTTAATTTAAATTATTTTTTTGATACCAACAGTGGTATCAGAGCCCGGTTGGATCAATAGCTGGGCGAAATTATTTTTTGATATCCTCCTATTTTTACATATCTTGTCCAAATACCCTACTTACACATATCCTTCTACTTTCATATTGCCTACTAAATTTCAACAATGGCCACTTCCCAAAACACCCACCAAATACCAGTTCCTATTTTTTTCGGTGAAAATTACAACTATTGGGCCATTAAAATGAGAACATATTTTATGTCTCAAGTCCTATGGAATATTGTCGAGAACGGGTATACTATACCCGATGATATTTCTACTTTGTCTACGGCGGACGAAGAAAAATTCGACCGGGAAAAGGAAAAAGACAGTTTGGCCCTTTTCACACTACAAATAGCCATGTCGGAGTCCCTGTTTCCGAGAATTAGCGGAGCACAGACATCAAAGGAGGCGTGGGATACTCTCAAGGAAGAATACCAGGGTAGTGACAAGGTACGTCATCTGAAATTACAAACTCTAAGAAGAGATTTGGAAAATATGAAGATGAAAGAATCTGAGACTGTAAAAGATTACTACACTCGATTAAGAGAAGTAGTAAATCAACTAAAAGCATATGGAGAAAATATTACTGACAAAAGGGTGGTAGAAAAAATTTTAATTACTCTACCAGCCAAATATGATCCTATTGTCACGACGACAGAAGAAACTAAAGATTTGGATCTTTGTCAGTAACAGAATTAATAGGTTCACTAGAAGCCTATGAAAAAAGACTGAGTATGCGTGAGAATGACACAGTTGAAAATGCATTTCAGTCAAAATTAAATTTACGGTCTTAGAATTCTAAAATTGGGGGGAGAAGATTTGGAGAAAATAATAAAAATAAAAATCAAGGTGGAAATAATAATAATCAACAAAAAGGAAAATATTCACCTTGTGGAGTTTGTAAGAAAACCAACCATCTTGAGAAGGATTGTTGGTACCGGAATAAACCACAATGTAAAAATTGTGGTAAATTCGGTCATGTGGAGAAAAGTTGCCGCGCTAAAGGATATCAAGCAAATTTCTCTGAAGAAAATGAAAAAGGAGAAAATTTGTTATTTTATGCAAATTAAGCAACTTCAGAAGAGAAAAATGATATTTGGTTCCTAGATAGTGGCTGTAGCAACCATATGACCGGAGATGAGAAGAAATATAAAAATATAGATAGATCTGTAAAATCACAAGTTCGGTTGGGAAATGGAGATCTAGTAGAAGTTGAAGGCAAAGGCTCAATAGAAGTCGAGACTCAAAAAGGTATTCGTCTCGTTGAAGATGTGCTGCTAGTACGAAAACTTGATACTAATTTATTGAGCGTGGGACAAATGGTGGAAAGAGGATACACACTACTCTTTAAAGACTACTCTTGCACCATTTATGATAACAAAAATAATCCTATAGCTGTAGTAAAAATGCAACAACGGAGAAACTTTCCACTCCGTTGGAAATTCATAGAAGCAGCACTAAAAGCTGAAGAAGATCAATCCTGGCTATGCCATAGAAGGTTCGGGCACTTCAACTTCAATGGACTAAAGTTACTCCATCAGAAAAATATGATGAAAAATCTACCGGCCATCCAATTGAACGACAATCTCTGCGAGAAGTGCATGGAGGGAAAACAGCATAGGAAACCATTTCCCTCAAGCCAAGCAGGAAGAGCCAATCAAATACTAGAGCTGGTACATACAGACGTGTGTGGACCAATGAGGACACCAACCTTTGAGAAGAACAGGTACTTCATTCTCTTTATTGATGATTATACAAGAATGACTTGGGTGTATTTCATGAAAGAAAGGTCCGAAGTCTTCTCTATCTTCAAGAAATTCAAAAGCCTCGTCGAAAATCAAAGTGGAATAAGAATTAAAGTACTTCGGAGTGATCGAGGAACAGAATACACATCCAAGGAGTTTAACAAATTCTGCGAGGATGAAGGAGTCAACCACCAGTTAACTGTCGGCTATGCTCCAGAGCAAAACGGCGTATCAGAAAGGAAAAACAGAACTGTATAAGAGATGGCCAGGACAATGCTCGCGGAGAAGAACATGCCTAAAGAATTTTGGGCAGAAGCTGTATACACTGCAGTCTATCTACTCAACAGGTGTCCTACTAAAGTTGTCCAAAATAAAACTCCAATAGAAGCTTGGAGTGGACGAAAACCGTCAGCCCAACATCTACGGGTGTTTGGGAGTATATGTTACGTGCACATCCCAAAGGAAAAGAGACAAAAATTAGAGGAGAAATCAGAGAAAGGCATATTCCTCGGCTATGCGTCTCAATCTATAGGATACAGAATTTACAGCCTCAAGACTGGTAAACTTATTATCAGCCGAGATGTAGAGTTCGATGAAAATGCTGCATGGAACTGGAAGAAAAAAAAAGTTGAATACCAAAATATCATGGTACCTACACGATGGAGGCAAAATACCATACCAGAAGAACATGAAGCAGAAGGTTCACAATCACCTCCAGCTCCACAAACTTCAAGTCCGAGGACAACAACACCATCAACTGACGAACAGTCATCCTCAGAATCCCCACCGAGAAAAGTACGAACGCTCAGGGAGATCTACGAGACATGCAATTTTGTCACGATGGAACCTGAAAGCTTTGAAATAGCAGTAAAAGAAAAAGAATGGGTAAAAGCCATGGAGGAAGAAATCAGAATGATCGAGAAGAATAAAACTTGGGAGTTTGTCGATCCACGAAACAACAAGGAAGTCATTGGAGTTAAGTGGGTCTACAAGATGAAGCTTAACCCAGATGGCTCAATCCAAAAACATAAAGCACGACTGGTCGCTAAAGGGTACTCACAATTGCCCGGGATTGACTACAATGAGACTTTCGCTCCAGTTGCTCGGCTAGCCACCATAAGAGCTCTAATCGCACTTGCAGCTCAGAAGAAATGGAGAATCTACCAGCTTGATGTCAAGTCAGCATTTCTCAATGGCTATCTGGAAGAGGAAATCTATGTCGAACAACCTCAAGGGTTCATGGCAGAAGGACATGAAAATAAAGTCCTAAAGCTAAAGAAGGCACTTTACGGATTGAAACAAGCCCCACGAGCTTGGTACAGCCGAATTGATGACTACTTCACCAGTTATGAATTCAAAAGAAGCGAAATTGAGCCAACACTCTACATCCAAACCCAAGGTAACGACAACAAACTCATTGTTTCTCTTTATGTAGATGATCTTATTTATACAGGGAACAATGAGGAGATGATTAAGGAGTTGAAAGAAGATATGATGAAGACCTTTGAGATGACAGACCTTGGGAAAATGAGCTATTTTCTCGGCATTGAGGTAACCCAAGAAGAAAACGGGATATTTATCTTACAGAGGAAATACACAGATAATTTATTAAAAAGGTTCAAGATGGACGGCTGCAAACCAGTGGCTACTCCCATGGTTGCAAACGAGAAATTTACCAAAGAAGATGGTACACCAAATGCAGACGCATCAACATATCGAAGCCTGATTGGAAGTCTACTATATCTAACGGCCACAAGACCAGATATCATGTACGCAACAAGTCTACTGTCAAGGTTCATGCAAAGTCCGAGTCAAGTTCACTATGGAGCTGCGAAGAGAATACTGCGATATTTGCAGGGTACTAAAGACTACGGAATTCAATACGAATATAACGAAGACTCAAGACTGATTGGGTACACAGATAGTGACTGGGCTGGATCAGTTGACGACATGAAAAGCACCTCAGGCTACACATTTTCACTTGGCTCAGGCATATTCTCGTGGTCATCTAAAAAGCAAGACTGTGTGGCGCAATCCTCAGCAGAGGCAGAGTACGTTGCAACAGCACTAACAACAAGTCAAGCTATTTGGCTAAGGCGTATTCTTGGATACATGGGAGAGTACCAAGAAAGTCCAACGGAGATATTCTGCGACAACAAATCAGCGATAACAATGGCGAAAAATCCGGTACATCACAGCAGAACCAAACACATTGCTATCAAATATCATTTTCTACGAGAAGCAACTAATGACAAGCAGATAGAGCTCACGTATGTCGCCACTGAAAATCAACTTGCAGATATTTTCACTAAAGCTTTACCGCGACCAAGATTCGAGAGTCTACGCGAAAAACTTGGAATTATAAGAATGATCATTAAGGGGGAGTGTTAAAAAAATTAAAGATCATTCTAGAATCAATCATTGGTTGCAATAATGATTAATTGATTGGTTGTCATTAGTTCAATCATTAGTTAAGCATTTGTTGTCATTAGTTGGCATATCAATTATTTGAATTCAAGAGACTTCCTTTGATATCTATATATATGTTGTACTTGATTGAGTTGAAATGCAAGTAAGAAGAAGAATTCAAGATAGAAATTCATCTATACTACTATTCTTAAAAAACTTCTCATTACCTATATTATAAATATTCTCTTTTTCAATATTATTTTTTACATATTATCATTTCTTCTCTAATTTAATTTGAATTATTTTTTTGATACCAACAGACCGTTTGGTTGCCGGAATAACTTGTCTATCAACAGCTAAAAATTCGGAGTCGAGATTTGGCGGCAGAAAGCCTGAAATTGTCTGCGTGGAATTGGTTTTTCAGATCAAATGTGCCTTTCGGTGTGACTTTTTAAGTTTTTATTGATCAGTCGTGTTTTCTTCTTGTTTTCTGTTGCTTCCTTTTTGTTGTCCGAATTCTCAGGTCCCATGTATTTTGTCTCGTCCTCGTTTTTCTATTTTTTAGGCTGTTCGGAGGTTCTGTGTGTATTGGGCTGCTCGGCTTTTGATGTTAATAGTATTTCGGGCTTTTTCCTTCTCTGTTTGTGAGAATAGTGTGGAGGGCTGATTTTCCTTTCTGTTTGTTAGTTTACTGTTGCGGGCAGATGTTCTGTGTATTTTGGGATGCCTGGTTTTGGTAGTTCATCCAAACCAGACTTCAAATGCAATGTTTAAGCAGATATGTTAATAGTGTTTGAAACGTATAATTACTTGCGAGTGCGCGAAATGTAGTACGAACGTGGATAAACAACATAAATAGCGGAAGCAATAAACCGAAGATTTTAAAACTCTTCAGGGAAGCGTCCCACTTCCCCTAAGAGCTCTTTCATTGATAAACCGTTCAAACTTGTATAGTTTGGACTTACACGACTCGAACTCCCTTCTAGTCAAGCCACAACTACACACGATCCTATCAACTACTTCTCCGGCCACGTCCCGTGGACTTTACACACTCGAATCCCTCGAGCAAAACTCAGTACTTAATCCCTAAGCACTAAAACAAAGTGTTTGTAAAAGAGAAGAAACAAAATGAGTTCACTTCTTCAGCACTGTAAGAACGCTGAAAAACTGGACCGAATAAAATAAAAATAATAGAAACTCTCAAACACTCAATTGAAGCTGATGAATGATGAACTTGATTTGCAGCAGCTCTCTTATCTTCAATTGATTGCTTGAGTAGGCTTATATACAACCTCCTTAAGGTAAGGAGTCTTCACAGTTCTTCCTTTACCTTTTAGGAGTCAATTTCCTTCTCAATTGATTCCTTTTTGATTTGGACGAAATCCTTCATGTATGGTAAGTTTCCTTGATGTAGAAATCGTGCATGTGATTTGGAGATCTTCAGAATTGAGCTTCCAATGGAAAAACGCATTCCAAGAATCTGGTAAGAACATGACTTTCCAAAAATAGCCGATCTTCCAAATCTTCAAATATCTTGTGGTGAATCTTTCCAAATCCTCCTTAGATCTTCTCATGAACGTCCAGAACTCTTCTTGTATGGAAAGCTCATCCTTTCATAGTCCTTGCCACCTATTCCTTGTCCTACAAGCAAAAGAGAACTAATTATGGCATGTGGCATACATGGTAAGTAAATATATAGGATATATATTATGTAATCCTTCTCCTAAAGGATTAGGATTCCATAATACATACTACAATAAATATATACCATATATTATTAATAATAAATATTAGGAACTTAATTAAATCATAAGTAAATAAATAGAAAAACATCCCTTTAATTTATTTTGCTTGCTTAACAAGAAATCTTCTAGAAAACACTTAGGTTTGTCGGACATGATGCCAAACCAATGTTCTAACAATCTCCCCCTTTGGCATTCAGTTCGAAAACCGTGTTTCTTGAAGATAACCTACAAAATAAACTCAAAACAGCAAAGCAATTATCTATATTCGAACATCAGGAAGTAAACTACTCAAACACCTGCATCAGAACAGTTCCTATCAAAACAACTATGAGGACTATGATCAGAGCAATCAAAACACGTCAAGATATCAGAACCTAAGTCAAATAGAGTGACCAATGCATCTCCCCCTGTCAGAATAGACAAAACAATCAAACAGCAAAACATACATGTTCTTACATCCTGTAGAAACATGTCAAAAACAGCAACCACAAGTACGCAGAAGCAAACAACTAGAACATAATCCCGAACATCTTCAGAAACATCCTATTTCTCCCCCTTTTTAGACTGAAATGCCAAAGGCAAATCTCCCCCTGAGTAAGAACATCAAATGAGAAAAATAAAGATGATCGAAGACAAAAGACGTTGCTTGAACTGATCTCTAAACGCTGATATGCTGTCCATCTCTTCTCCAGGCCTTTGCCATCAATCAAAGTGTTTCAGAAGCACATTAGAAAATGATGTAGGAACACAAATCTTTAAGCTAATAATTCATGGAGAAAGACAAATGAAAATGGAGTTCTCAGGTTCCAAAAATGAAGATATGTAGTGAGGGCAGAATGAATGAAAAATGTCAGGATGTAATGGGTAAGGTTTAAAAATCAAGGGAAAGGATGGATACTATGCAGTAAGAACGTTCCCATCAAAACTGAACACACAAACCCATTAACACACTAACGCATGTGTCCAACTATTTCAAAATTAGGAAGAATAAGATTTCATCATCCAAAAATAAATTCCCTCACAAATTTTTAATGCCCAAGTGATTCAATCAAAGAAGGAAATCTTATGCAATATATGCCTAG